ACAAGTGTCATTAAGATCTTATATTTTTAAGCTTTGATGACAAAGTCCGTTAGCAGTTGGTTCTCAGGAGGAGCACTGAGCAGCGCGACTTGCGAGTAAACCTTTGCGCATTACATTTTACTTTCTTGAACAATCATGACATGTGAAGCGCGAAGATATTTTTTTTCACATTTCTCATATTTTGTCCTCATACTGTGATTGTTGTTAAAGAGTTCGTGGCAATACGTGTGTGTTTGTTGTTAATAAATAATATATTATAATAATTAATATCAGTGAGTTTAATAGTTTCCGTATCTACTTTTCCCTTTGTGATTATTATACGAAATGTACGTATTTAGGTATTTATATGTATTACCAATGTTTCAATATTATTTTTTAATTAAATAACTTACTAAGCAAAGAATAAGATAACTAGTATAATAAAAATAACATTTGTTTTAAATAAATATCATTAATTAGTATATTTTTCATAAGAAAGGTAAACTATAAATTCGTATTTATGGCAGTAATCCACCAGCTGATAATTGTACACATATTTCAAAATCGTACAGTTACCGAGTTTCATTGAAAGCATCTAAGTTATATTTTTAATTTATAAAACAGCGCAATATGCATCGAGTCTATTTATTTAATTAGTTAGGTATGCAGTATAGAATTTTAGTCACTGAATTCCACTTTATAATTTTGCGCCTAAATTCGCGAGTGGAGTTGGTTTGTGTGTGGTATACCAAAAGTACCTACTTGTAGTATCTATACTTATTTATGACGTAAATTTTATTAAAATAGGAGAAATATTAGGGTTAGGCATGTAGCTATGTATGAACCTACTACATGCTAGCCACTTCTGAAATATAATATATACAGGCAAATAAAACAGGCAACGAGGACAGTACTAAAAATTACCGCTCTTAGTTTAATATTATTAAGTGCATTTTTGATGTTTTATTAGGAAACTAGCTGACATACCTTAGTAGGTACTTTACATTTCAATATATTTGCTTGTGATCTTTCAGTTCGTACAAAAAACATAATATAGAAAGTAGTACTTTCAATTTGTACGAAATTTACCAATTTTTCGAGCAACGTTTTCATATTTTCCCTAAAAACCTAATTTGCACTATTAGAAACGTTTAAATAAATAATTAGCTATAACGCTCCAGCTCTTTACAAGAAGACGCTAATCAACATTTCATTTTATTTAGGTATATCTAAGACGAAGTGTTAGGTAGTAACTAGTAGTTACCTTCCATACAATTTTAGAGTTTAAACTTAGAAGATTATTTTTCCGATTTTTTACTAAATAGATGTATAGTCTGTTTAACTTGTTCCAAATACTGGTTGGATACCTCGTCTTAAATATTAGTTTATTTGAACAGATTATTTGCTTATTGACTTTCACGTAAGGTGCTGCTAAGAACCGTTGTACTGATATTTTACGTGATTACTTAATTTTTCTTACAAAGCATTTGGTTGAGATATCTTCTATCTATCCAAATTCCAATAATAAACTTGACAAGAATCTGAAAATTATCAGTTTACTTTAACATTAAATAATGATGTTCCAAATATATATTACAACTAGCATTGCCCGCGTCTCCGCTCGTGTTCAAATGACCAAAAAGCAAATTCTTAGGTTTTTTTAGTATACTCTTACAATACAGTTTTTGTATTTTTTTTCTCAGAAATGAGATATTTTCCTGCGGTAAAAGTACCCTATATGTTGACCCGGATAACCAGCTATCACCATACCAAATTTCATCAAAATCCCTCCAGTGGTTTTTCTTTGATGCGGTGACAGACAGACACAAAGTCTAAAAACTATAGATTCGGCCTCTGTATCGATAATAATGTCTATTTTAATAAGATTTTCCAAAAAATATTTAATGTACAGATTCGGCTTGGTTACAATTTTATTATATGTATAGATTGGAGATATACATACCTAGTTAAATCCATCATTGGTTTATTATATTCATGTGAGACGATATCAACCTACAACCGATTTAAGAAAATACGTACGAGTATATCAATAGCATTAAAAATCAAATTCATTTTAATTCATGTGTAATTAGGGTGGGTCGACATTTTTTTTCTCAATTTTTTTTCTAATAGTCAAAATATAATGTCTTATTAGATAAATAACAAGCCTGTAAAATATTATTTAAATACACTTTATAAAATTTACATAATGTAAAAGTTGTGTAAATGAGTATACGATACTAACACCCTTAAAAATATTGTGGTAGATAAAAACTATTCTGAAGTATTGTTATTGAAATGTTAAGTGATTCTTAGCTGAGATTGTTGACTTAAAGCTTAGTTTTTGTTACCTAAAGAGGGTAGTAAAAAGTGGTCGTGGGCTTATTTTGTCACTGAGTTACGTTAGTGTATTAATTTGACTTTGGTGCACGAAGAACAATATTATATACATGAAATTAACTCAAATCTGTCGTGTCTAAATAATTTGTTTGTTTTTTTAATATATAAAAAAATAAAAAGATTTCAAGAAGACAAACTCATCAGTCTCCCATTTTCGGAAGTATTGATGACAATAACGACAATATTATGTTACCAATTTACGAAGATATCATGAAATGTTATAAATGGAATAGACTACAGCTGAAAATTAGCACTAATACAAAGAAAGGATTACCTTTTTAGAAATTACCGAAAGAAAAGCATCACTTCCTACTGTGTCGCTCACAAGAACAATTCAATTCATAAAAGCTTATCATTTAAAGTACAAAAATCTTATCATATCTCTAAAAACAATGTCCGAAGATCAAAAAAATGGGTTCTTGCAGAGTTTTATTTGACATTTACATATGTATTTGATTGTAAACGTTAAGAACAATGTAATTGTCTGAGAGAGCATAAAACCCATAAAGAAGAACAAAAGTCTTTGATTGATCAGGAGATAGGAAAGGAAAACTGCAAGAATTAGGGTCATCTTTGAGTGATTCGGAAGATAGTGTGTCTTCTTATGATTTAATTTTACCATTCACATCACAAGAAGACACGAACAGTAAAAATACTATTAAAAATTTGAATTGAATTTGTCAAAAAACTGCGACCGATATGGTATTTCTGACAGAGCAGCTGCTGCACTTGTTTCTTTTGTATTGTACGATATAAGTACAGATCTTGAAGTGATTGATAAATCAAAAATATGCCGGAAAGTAAGAAAGAACGTAAGGAATTATCTAAGCAACAAACATAGGTTCAATTGGTGTCTTTATTTATTTAGATCGCTCAGTAAAAATAGTAACAGAAGCATCTATAAGTAAAATGTCTTTATAATGTCAAGCTAAGTTACATTTGAGTTTTCATTCATTTTTGTGCTTTTTATTTAACAAATATTGATTTTTATATTAAAAATTGTAGGGTTTTAATTAAATAATTAGGATTGATTTTACCTAGTCTTTTTTAAATTTTCTTCAACTTTGAACCACATGCGCGGGCTAAAGATTCAATTTAATTTTACTTTTTTTTTACCTATAATTATTTGTTTACTCATAGGACAATAAAATATCGCTATTTGAATGCAATCACAAAACTTTATTTTTATTTCATACATGAGCGACCCACCCTAATGTGTAAAGTGATGATTCCTGATCAATTGTCTATAGGTACGAGTACATACCTATAATATATATACTATTCTTTATTACACTCATATGTAAAATACAGAGATTAACAAACAATAAAATTAGTTAGCAAAGGACCAAAGGTTGACTTATCTCTAGAAGAGATCTCTTCCAGTCAACCTAAGTGAGTTAGAGAGATAGTATTAAAATGCAGGCTAAAGTGCAGTTACTCAAATGTAAATACTTAAATAAATATATATGATATAAAAATATAACAAAACATTATACATATTATATACCATAACATATATAAATAAATATAAAGCATATAAAGAAGAGAAAAAAACAAATCTAGATTTTTTCAAATATTTTGTTTCTCTGTCTGTTTGTCTGTTTGTACGGGCTAATCTCCAAGACTGTTGCATAATTTATTTTTTGCCATATTTAGATTCCTCGTAAAATTTTCAGTCCTTATTTCTTCTTTTTCTTCGTCATCTTCTTAACGATAATATTCACATTAATTATTAATATCCACATCGGTGGATTATGTATTATATTATACTAGAGACTCACCCTCACTTCGCTCGGGTTCGTCCCTACTTACGTTTTAACGTTTAGTATAGATTTCTCAGAGATGAGATATTTGACCGTAGTAAAAAGTATCCTATAGGTATGTTAACCCGGATGGATAACCAGCTATAATCTATCTCGGAGATTAGCCCGTACAAACAGACAAACAGACAGAAAAACAAAATATTTGAAAAAAAATCTGGATTTCTTCTATAACTCTTTTTACATCCCCCTGGCTCGATTATTTATTATAGTATAGAAGCTAGATTTTTAAGTATTGAAATTTCTATTTGAAAATTTCTAATTATTATATTTTTTTTACAATAACAAAAATTGTCTCTACAATTAAAGATTAGATTTTTTTAAGCAATTAAAAAAAATGGCTTCTTTTTCTACAACCTACGATTTTTTTAAATTTACGTTCATCCCTTAAACTTAAAACCTCCCTGACTTGGTTAATTTTGACCGGAGTAAAAAAGTCATAAAACATTTTTGATGTAAAATTTTATGCTCTATAAATTTTTATTAAAACTTTTTTGTCTAACTTTTATCGTTTTCGATTAATTGCGAAACTAATACTTTTGACTATATTTATTGCGAATACTTTTGACTATTTTTTTTTGGGCCTTTGCCGGGGGTTGCGCACACTAAAACCTTAATACATTGTTTTTGTATCATTAAAACTACATTATATCAAAAATGCAAAGTTGAGTGCCAACATTTTGATTTCAGCCCTTATTTGACTGGACTATTGTATTGTTGAGGATTCTCATTCATATGAGAAGAGTTTGTTCTATTTAAAAAAAAAGTTTTGATTAATTATACCATGTTGTTTGTTGACAGATGTGTGAATGGCTCTCTCGCGAAGAATGGTGCGACGTATATTTGCAATGCGACGGTCATGTATTCAGAACTCATCGTGCAGTTTTAGCAAGTGTCAGCAATTTCCTAAGGGTATTTCTTATTATTTAAAAAAAACAATAATTTAACAAATATTTAGGTTATTGCTTATTTACATTATTTAATAGCTTATAGAATTTATAATAACTTATTAATATTTTTTATAGGAAGCACTTCTGTCATATTCAATAGAAGAAACGCCAATTTTTATAGTTTTACCAGAGTTCGATCGCAATTGTGTATCTTCAATGCTATATTATATTTACAATGGCGAAGTTACTATTCAAAGGAGCCAATTGAAGATGTTTTTAGAAATCATAAACGCGATGCAAATTTTTATCGACCACAAGTATTTGTTAAATATTAGCGACCTTATGAAAGATGATGATTTCAATATACAGTGTCATAAAGGTGACTTACAAAGTAGCGCACATGTTGTGATAACCGATAAAGAAAATAAAGAGTGCACAGAGTTAAAGACAAGAGAAGATTTAACTGAAAGTTCATACAATACAATATGGGAAAATAATCATTTTATCAAGGATATGCCACGGAGTATGACTTATTTAAACGAAAGTTTCTCCAACTATCTAAAATCTTTACACGATCACCGACAAAGGCAATCATTTTGTCGAGATTTATTTATTGAGACATGTCGTCTAAACGGTAACAGTAACGGTGATGTGGAAGACGCGTTGGAAATAACAAATGAATATTATCGTGTACCGACATCTCGTCACTTAACGAATGCTAATGCAGGATATCTTGGAACTAACTATATTGTCACGAAAAATTCTCACATAAAAGAGGCTGAGATTATCTCTACATTTAAATTAAACCAAAGACAATCGAATAATTTTTCTCTGTTGGCCTCGATGACTCATAATTTTTCGGAAAAAAATCAAAATATTTCGAACAGGGATAAAATATTTGATCCGACGAAATTATCAGATACACCGCATGCACAAAGTTTAACGATTGATAAGGGAACAAAAAGAAATCATGAGAATTCTATTTCTAGAATTACAATCTTAAATGAAGTAATGCAGAGCCCTTGGAGACCAATAATACCGAATAGCTATAGGCCTTTACGTAAGAATATCAATAATAATTTACCTGCGCTTAGTAAACCAACAGAACTTTTTAAGGTAATTCAAATTTTAAGAGTTCATTGCTATTTAATAATAAAAACTAATACATTGTATCATAAACTCTTATATACTCGTATTTTAACTGATATATTGGATTATAAGTTATTTTATCATATTTTTCACTTCTGCCTTATACTCGTATTTCCTATTTACGCAACTAGCTTGGTCGTAAAGTCCAACCTTTAATCCTATTGAAAGCGACCCCGTGATATCGTAAATATTATCAATCAGATTTTATGTACCTATGTTTGTGCCCACTTCATTGCGACCGCCTTTATATTCGAAATCTAATTTATTGTGCAGGGAAAGTGACACATTAAATACTATACGAGTATATATTATATAAATATTAGACAGAATTTAGAGCTTTTTGGAGCCTTCTGATCTCATTTTTCAAATTTAAAAAGACGATAAACCTTTTTTTACATAAAATCTTTGTAACCGTAACATGTTTCAATACTTTCAAATATTAATTGGTAAACGAAATCTTATTTTTTAGATTTTTTCTGATAGCGAATCGTCGGAATCACATGAAAAACAGCATTCACGATATAAATGTATAGAGTGTCACAAATCATTTTCACAATTACGGAACTTTAAGTACCACATGTCAATTCATCGCGGAACAAAGGAGTTTGCTACAACATGTCCCGTATGTGGGAAATATTTCAACGACAAGGGATATCTGAGTAGTCATATGAAAATTCATAAGTATATAAATATTATTGAAAAGAATAATGATATCCATTTAATTTGTTATTGTTTAGTATGTTTTTTTATTGTGTTTGGTATTCTTTCAGAAATCGTAAGGAGTACAAGTGCTCTATCTGTCCAAAATCATTTAATCAAAGAGTTGCATACAACATGCATATGAGAATTCATACAGGTATTATTTAAAATTGATATATGTATTTGTTTGTACAAAATCGAATAAGACATAATTTATTATTATCAAAATCATAACTTTATACTCTTAATAATTCAGTCTGTACATTATTTATTCTACACCTAGTAATATTTTTTTTGTATTTCAATTGCAAATGTATTTTAGTTCGTTTTTGTCTGAAGTTTCCTAAAGTAATAATACTACTGACTTCAAAATAAAACGCACATCTTGTGTTTTGGTAGTGTGTCAGGGAAATTTCGATAAATAAAAATGTTTTTTTTTTTAAAACCGGTCTAACCGTTTATGTTGGTTATCAAAAATAATAAATGATACTCACGATCGCACGCGTATTAATTTTAATAATGCGTTAAGTAGGTAAATTCGATTAAAACCTGTTTTATACAATATTTTTTGCTTGTTCACCGTTAAAATCGTTATGACTGTAATGTAGCTGGCATTGTGTTTAAGTTTCTTTATTTATCTTCGTAACATTAAAATGTTTGTAAGTTAATTATTGTGACGTAATAATCAAGGTGTTCTTTAATTTTTAAATTAACATTTGATTGAGAGAATAAATACATTTTCTCCTCATTCGTTTATTAAATTAAAAACTAGTTAAACGTTGCTGTATTTTTTAAGTATTTTAGTTATTGACAAATGACAATATTATGAAGTTCGTGCGTATATGCGTTATCTGTAAAGATTTGATTTTTTCCATAAACTTTAACACCAAAAGAATTGAATTGAACTTTAACACAGTATTCGTGTCATCTGATTTTATTATTGTCGATTGTAATATCTCTATCTTCTCGTTCGAATCCGGACTATGGGAAAATCTGTGCAACGGTTGTCAGTCAGACGACAAAAATATATTTTGTAAAATATAAATGATTCCAAAACCTTCATCACCACCATCATTAATTTATTATAGGAATCATAAATACTTCATTCCAATCGATCAAAAACTAAATTTCTCTAATGACAATTTCTCAATAAATTGTCACGTACGACATTACTTTTAGTTAAGTAAACGCAGTTACTATTAGTATTCTTAACTAAACAATCACAAAAATCTCTTTTACGTTTGTATAACAGGTGTGAAGCCGCACGTGTGTGAGGAATGCGGGAAAGCATTTTCTCGCAAGATGCTGCTGAAGCAACACCTCCGCACGCACAGCGGCGAGCGCCCGCACGCGTGCTCGCGCTGCGGCAAGCGCTTTGCGGACCGATCAAATATGACCCTGCACTTGAGATTGCATACAGGTGAAAATTGTTTTATATTAAATACTAATCGCTGCGGCTCAAAAACTACGTTAATTCATTAAGTTTGAATAATAAGGTTCAAATCAGACCTGTAGTTTTAGATAATAGCACGTGCAAACAAACAAACAAATTCTTCAGTTTTATACATTAGTATAAAATATAAAATAAAAGTCATAGGTTGTCTCACATGTCACATCACGCTGCAGCTTTTAGAGGTGGAGTAAAATTAACAAGTCAATATTTTTTGATTTCATCAATGTAAACCATGTAAACTTTAACTATGCCAAAGCTCATGCTCGTGAGATATAATTAATAAAATATTTTTAGAAAAATAAGTAATTATTTTTTCTACTGATTTCATTCTTAACATTTCTTGTACATAATATATTAACTATAATAGAAGTCATATCACAAGCATAATTTGGATTTTTCTTTACAGGAGTTAAGCCATTCGAATGCTCTGTTTGTTCCAAATCGTTTACAAAGAAACATCATTTAAAGTCGCATCTGAACTTTCACACAGGAGAGAAACCCTACTCGTGTCCGCGATGCAAGCTAGCCTTCACACAGTCATCTAATATGAGGACACATTTAAAAAAATGCACTGCCTCTTAGTTCTATAGTTATAAAGTTGTATCTAATCTAATATATTTAAACGAGCAATTCTTATAGGTATATTTATTTATTTATACCGGCGATCTCGGAAACGGCTCTAACGATTTCGCTGAAATTTAGTATGTGGGGGTTTTCGGGGGCGAAAAATCGATCATCAAAATCGATTTTGTGCGTTCGATCGCGATCATCTAGATCGATTTAGTCTTATGTCTGAGAAAACGCGTGTATTGGAGTTTTCCATACCATGCAAAATATGGTCGCTAATTTCACACACTCGGACATAAGCATCGTGGTCAAGCGGCCAAGACGCAAGATTGACAATCACAGGTGTCCGGGTTTGAATGCCGGTTGGATACAAAGTTTTTACTTTTGTTTATTTTTGTATTTATTCAAGTTTTTAAAAAAAATGTACTCTTGGCCAAAAATTCAGAGCGAAGCTCGGTTGCCCAGGTACCTACTAAAAATATATAATGGAAAATTCAGAAACTTGGGACGATCGAAACTATTGTTACACATATGACATGTATGGGTTGTATATGTCGTTTATATTTATTGTAGTAAAATATTTATATTATATTTTATAAAATGTATAATATTCATAAATAAATTTTATTAATACTTGAACCATCAGCCATCTTCGATTGGTGATTTAAACCTGGACCAATTGCCAACTAACCAAATAAATTATGTAGATAAATTATAAATGTAATCAAAAATTGTCAACAGTCTTAACTCTAGCTGCAGTGGCTTTCCGTATCATTTATATTAACAATAAAATGAGGTTGTTTTGTCATAAAACGCTAGGAAGTGTTTACATAAGTACCCTCTGCGAGACAGTGGTAACACGCTCGCTTGCGTAACCAAGTGAAGTGGGTTCAAATCTCGGGTCTCGCACCTCTGATATTTTTATATGTGAATCATTTTGAACATGATTACCACTCGTTTTACGGTGAAGGAAAACATCGTGAGGAAACCTGCATGTCTGAGAGAACCTAGCAAGTTTTCGAAAGACATGTGAAGTCCGCCAACCCGCACTTGGCCAGCGTGGTGGAGTATGCCCTGATCCCCCTCGTCTTGAAAGGGGCCCGTGCCCAGCAGTGGAACGTCAAAGAGGGCTGAATACATATTATGTCCATACATACAATTACCATCTGTATTATATATATGTTTATATTATTATTTGTTTTGCACATATTATAATTACATAATATATTAATCATAATTTATTCAATTAAAACAGAAATATATTAACAAATCTTGGAACTCAATTTTAGACTACTCCTAATTGTCATATCGGAATGAAACTTTGTATGTATACGTTTAACGGATGACAATACTAGAATTTGGTATCCTGGAACTGATCTGATGATGGCGTCTGGAGGTGGATAATGGAACTCTTCAGTGGTAAAAAGTATACCGTTTTATAAATTTTACAGCGTTGATAAGAGTGTATTTTTTTAATGCATCGTGTTTTTATATGTCATGTACACAATGTCTTTTAAGTTATACTAATTAGATGATATTATTTATGTCAAGCTTGTCTAATCTAATTATAGAATAAATGAATAAAATTATAATATCATGCCTTGTTTTCTTGAATTGTTTATATTTCTTATTTTTTTTAATTAAGGTTTTAGGAATAAATAATAAAACTACGATTCTAATTTTTTTACTTCTGTTTTAATTTGTTTGGTGTTGTAAAATAATTGGTTATCGAGGTGTACAAAATTACAGGCCTTTACAGTGAGTATTGAGTTTTCTGGCATATTAAATAACTATATTATGGCCTTGTCATAAGGCGTACGAACTCTTTGTATTTATAAATATCGTAGCAGAAGTTATCAAATACAGTGATATATTGCTTACTTTGCCATACTTACGTACGTAAGGTATTGTACTTATATAATGTAAGAACGATCTATTCTTCTTAGGTCTTAGGTATTTTATACAATATTGTTAGAAAGTTTACGTTTGTATAATGACTGATTATTAATAAATTTATTAAACTGATACAGAAGTTTAGAGCGGTACCTATTTACATTTCAACAGAAGATAACAGAGGGCGCTTGGATAAATTGGTTAAATTTAGTTCTAAATGTTTATTGCTTACTATTTTCAATTTTACAGAAGAATAGTTATATAAGTTATCATGATTAGATATTAGACAAGTATTTTTTTATGCAGTGCGAATTTTGTGCGTTCTGGTTCTCATATAAATATCCTTCTGTTTATATAGAAATAGAATTTGCATGCCCTTTAATACATAAACTGAAATACGAAGTACAAAAATACATAAGTTTCTATAAAATCCAAGTAAAACATGAACAATACAAGGAATGGTGAGAAGTCATTAACAAGATTATGCAATAGCAATTATTTGTAATAATTTATATTAACTGTTACATTTTATATTTAAATGTATTTATAGGAAGTGCCGTATATTTTAATCTAAATGATTTCGACGTTAGTTATTAAAAAGTACGTAATTAGTATGAAGTTTGAAGTTTCATTTCATTTTCACTAAAATTAACTTTTTAACGGCAATCACACTGGTATCGACCATAATACGTACTTATTATAAATGTTACACATGAATCGAATCAGTATTATAATTAATTATATATTATATTTTAATAACCACAATTTCAAATATAATTTAACAAATGAACCTTTTCGAACATGATGAAATTTAAAAAATGCGATGCAACAAATATAACTAAAGAACGTTTTGACATGAATATATATAAATCTGTAGGTATAACGTCGAAATCATAACATTTCGCATATTATTGTATAATATTTGTCTATAATATTAATAATTTGACAAAATTATGTTCAACGGCATTCTTTACAAAAATTTAGCTCTGTAGGTAAATGCTTGGTATAAAATATACAGATAATAATTTTTTAAGTGATTGCGTGTAAAAATCTTATCTTATGAACAATAGAAATATACAAAAAGCTATCGCTTGGTTCTGCATTAAGTGTAAGTTACATCTTGCTTGTCAGCGACGCGACGGATCGAGGATACACTTACGCATAACGTGAACCATTGTTACACATTTACATTCGCCAATCGTCACATTACACATATCTCAGCCTTTTCGAATAGGAGAATCATAATTAATTATCGAAATTTGGAATATAAAATAGTAACTAGTAAACTCGGTGAATAATTACATGTAGTAAATGTCGGTCAGTACGTAGGCGACTGACTCGAGCGACTACTACTCTACGATGTGAAGCACCATTTGTTCTAGCGTAGGGATAATGTACAAAGTTCATCCATTCTACTCTAAATAACATTACAACTAAAGTGATGCATATACGCGCGTACTTTCTCCAATAATTCATTAGGAACAACATTTTAAAATACTATATGAACATTTTGTAAGGATAACTTAAAAATTAAAAAAAATATCGACGCGCTTTTGGCACTTACCCTAATTTGAGATGAAACTGTTGTATCCGATGAGAAATTAAATCAAAATGTTATAAACAGGTGAAAAGACCTTCTTTGGTGAAATTCAAGCAATTCCCGTAAAACACGATATATTGCATCTAAACAAGTAGAAAAAATATTGAATAATTATATAGTTCCTGCCTGTAATAATACCATTTCACAATGATACTGATACATTACCTATGAAATATGTATACGCATCTATTTACACGATATTTACAAGAAATAAAAAATATAAATTATTTTAAGTCGATGTTGAAACATCCTATTTACAATAGAATTGAAAAAAAAAAAACAATTGAGCATTAGCGTAAGGGTAGGCTGAGGACCTTATCAAAGTACAACAATGCTTAAAATACTTACTAAATTGGATGCTTTCTATGTAAGTACTTAGTACTCATACATATAATGCGTTAAAACTAAACATTTATACATGTTTACAACTTAACGTTCGTATCATAATCTCATAGCCACTGAATAAGAGCATTGAATGTGTTAGTCACTCGATTGTCTCAACACATTTAACGAATACTTTATTTTAATCACAAGATTGGAATCACATGATGCGGCGGGGAAATACGCGTCCGACGAGAGTGCGCAACAAGGGCGGCGTCTGAGGGTGCCAGCCTCAGGTGCACTCGATGATGAGAGGCTGGCTCGACTCTATTACGCTCGGCCTGGTCTCTCCGCCCGCAGAGCTATAATGTTGCTCATGATCGGAGTTCGTAGGCAGCAATGACCTGTACTGGCTTCCGGGGCCGGGTGAAAGCTGCCCGTGACCTAAGGCCAGATGCGGTGTGGTAGAGTGCGCTTGCCCTCCCATCATAGTCTCGCCGTGCGACATCGCCACACGCGCCCCACCGGCTCCCACCAGCCCTCCTTGCGATGCCGAGTGCACCTCGTATGCTTCGTGCCCCTCTCTATCGTGGCAGTCTTTGTCGACATTACCTGCAAAGTGCACGCGAAAATGAAATCGGCCTCGTTCAGTGAGAGCGCAAGTGAAAGTTGCGGTTCACCTAGCGAGAGAAAGTGCATCGCGCGCAGTTGCTCTCGCGGTTTCATATTGTTTAATACCATTTTGAATAAGAAAATATTATTTGAAATATAGTAATTTATGATATTAATAAAAATATTGTGAATTATAGTGATACAGTGCAAATAATCATTAACTTGAAAGTGTTTAACAAATGTTACGTACCTATGCATTCAGTGTTTGCGGCGTTAGTGATTGCGAGAACCTCTTCGATGTTGTTCGGTTTGCAGCTAGTGGTTTTCCAGTGAGTACGAAGACCTGAGGCACTAATATATTTTTTGTCACATCCTTGACAAACATAAGGCCTATCGTTGGTGTGCAATCGCTTGTGAAGTTTTAAATGTACAAATTGCGTGAATTTCTGCATGCATAAATCGCAAGCGTACGGCTTCTGGCCTGAATGGAGACGTAAATGTGTCTTTAAATTGGATGTAGACGAAAACCGTTTTTTGCAAATATCACATTGGTGGGGTTTTTCACCTGTGTGTACTAGGTGGTGTTTTTGCAAATGAGCCAGTTGTGTAAATGATTTATTACAAACATTACATTTGAAAGGTCGTTCGCCTGAATGCGTTCTTAAGTGCACCTTTAAATTCGATAATTGGCCAAAAGTTTTACAACATACGTTGCATTCGTAATGCATTTTTCCGTCTTTCTTTTTCAAAGGATAAGGTAGGCTTCTATAACCCCGTGAAGATTGTGAATTAGGACTCATTGGCGCGACCATTAAACTGCACGTACCATCTGGGCTCATACTACTATGTTGTGGTACAAGTTGACCATTCACATTAGAATTTTGAATTAGGCTCAATTGGGAACAATTTTTAAGCGTTATAACGCTAGTTGAGGACGGAAAATGATGATTGCTTTGCCCGTTTTGACCTCTCTCGTACTGATGTGAAGAAGACACTGGAGAATATGTGCTAGGTGGGGAGCCCAACTGCGTTATTATTGTCGAGTTAGGCGGCGAGTATAGGCTATAAGAATAGTTAGGATAATGACTTTCATATCTTGTTTCCCGTATTTCTCTGATCTCTCTAATTTCCCGAATTTCCGTTGTGTGAGGGATTGAATGTGGAGGCGATGAAGAGTAAACAGAAACTGAATTTGGTGCTGGTAACTGCTGTGGTAATGGTAGTAGGGATGGTAAAGGTGTTAAATTTGAACTAGAATCAGGACTACAGGCATTACCATACCTTTGGCTTTTTTTATAGGAATATGCCATTTCTGTTGGCGATGAAGGCGGTGGAGTAGCGTTTGGTTGTCTTCTATTTGGATCATTGTTGTTTGTGTCAATTCTATTTCCTGTTAAAATGGTTTCAAGGATTCTAGTATCAGGTGGCGAATATCTCATGAATGCCGGTTGTGGAGTTGGTGAAACGGTTCCATCTTCATAGTATGGTTTAGTTATTGGAACCACTGTATTTTGAGACGACTCTAGAACAATAACAGTAGATGTAGCAGGGTCACGACGTGGTGGCGATAAATTTTGAGGTGGACTATTTATGATTTCGTCGGTTATCATTACCTCCTTTTCACTTTCACAGTCCATATCTTTGTTAAGAGCGTAAGCTCTGGGCATTTTTATCTTAACTTTTCTATATTCATTTCTGTGCATATCCTGATCGACTTTTTGAACTATAACAGATTCTTTCGGTTCATTGGTTTTTATTGAAAAATCTAACACATAATTTTCTGTATCAGAGTCACTTGAGTCTTCTGGTGGAGTGAATTCATCGTGGTATCCATTACTGTGGTAGCCTTCATCCGATCTCACTGAACCATCGTTAGGTGTTAACTGGTGTTCGTAATGTGTTGGTACACAATGAGTAAAGCTGGGCGATTTACTACCTAGCTTATCTGGTATATTTGGTGGCATCAGAGAAGGTCCACCGGTATCTCTCATGTGAATATTTTGAGCAGGTGATCGATTACTGTAGAGTCTAGGATTGTCGAGTTGATGAATAACAACATGTGATGTGCTTTCCTTGTGTTGATGTATGATCAAAGTCTGATTGTCTCTGTGATGCGCTTTTACTGGTGATGGTGGTTGCATTAAATTGTTTGGTGACATTGATGGATGTTCATTCATAACAACATCTGATTTCTGATGAATAATATTTGAAGGAATGTCAGATCTTACAACTATTCTTTCATTTTTAATCATATTCCTAAGTTCATCCCGTGACTGAACATTATTATTTTCATGTATTGATTTGTCACTTGCTTCACGCTTTCTTCGCCTACATGGAATTTCTGCCTCTAAAAGTTCTTTAGCATTTGTGAGACCAAGTACATATTTCATATGATTAAAAGCGATTTCTGGATGCACTGGTGCAGGTGGCAAGCCGTAAGCTTTCTTTATGGTTTCTTCTTTACCTGTAAAATATTATTATGGTAATAATGTCTTATTTATTATTATATTATTAAAAATAAAAGATATTATGTCGTTCCTAATAGACTATCTATATAAATCATGAATTTCAGAAAATATTAAATATATTATGAACTCACAAATAGAATATGTTGCTCTTTCCGGGTCAATGTCATAACCAAGCCTTGTTGCAAAATCTTTGCAATACCACACCATAAGTTCTTCGTTTGGCATAATATCCCTGAAAATAATAGAAAATGATAAATTGACAACAATGACTTTAAATTAAATTTAAAAGTACGCTATATCGTATATGCCCACTTACCGGATTGTGTAAAAGTAAATATATTCTTGATGTTGACAAGCAACGAGGTTCATTACGGAGAGTGAGTATGCTGACGCCACATACCGCATCCAGTTTGCAACGCTCGTGTCCGACCCATCAAGGTAATAGTAGTCGCTATCTTTGAATATCTGTAATTATTATAGGACATTATTTACTAAAATGATTTCATGTTTACAAGAACGTAGGTGAATATGGAATTAACTGATATATATACTTAAGTGTTTCTTTCTACACATGTTAAATGGAGTATGTAGCACGTGTTTACAGTATTTACAATACGCGTGCAGCTGATAGAAACATGCTTACAACGATTATGGCGGGAAGTCAAGGATAATGATTCGTATTATTTCTATCTAGGACGGTAAACAAAACCGTGTAAAATGTTTTTTTCTAAATTAAAAGTTTTAGTTTGCTGTTTTTATTAAAACAATTTCATGATTTATATCTTATCACTTTAGCGTTACTGGGTTTGTTTTTTTAATTTATTAGTACTGTGTTATGTCTAGTATATGAAAATGAGCTCTTACTTAAACTAAACTTAAAAGATACATATATCGCATAAAAGTAAAGAAATACCATCACCATAGATATAAAAAAACCTAATCTCACCTTAATATTTCCATAAGTATGATGTCTGACAGTTTCTTGTACCTGGCCCAAAATAGAGAGGAATAGGTTAGTGAGAAATAAAGAAGGATAATTAGGTATGTATATATAAGATTTGCAGGCCTCTGACAATTGTATAAAAAGCCCAAATTGTAATATTTAGGAACCGTGTAAAAGTGTATTTTAGTTAGCTTTCTGGAAAGATAGATCAAAGCCATAACCATATTGACGCTGACAAAAGATCTATTGGGTATAGAAAGCGAAGTTAAGCATTTATATACTTATAGTATAATTTTACTTACCCTCCAATAATATCGCCAAGATACTTTGTCATTTGGTTTATTTGGAGTACGCGTTCCTTCAAAAGGACCAAATCTTGTGCCTCTTGGAATAACTCCTGTACTCCACACACCTTCTGTCTGTAGATCATATAAAGTTATTAGGTTAAAACGTTTTTTTAACATACGATAACAAAAAATATATAATTTAAATAAACAATCGCAATTATTTACCGGTGTATTAGGTGTAGATAGTACAGCAGATGGCCTGAGAGCCAAACTACGCGGAAGAGTTCTTTCAGCCCTGTTTGGAACTCCGCGTTCGCATGGTACATCGGGAACTATGTATACTGTGAGTCTTTCAAATTCTTCTTCACGCATGCGCGTTACATCGTAGGACTCTGTACCACCTACAGCACCAACAGCGCCCACGCCGGGACTTGGTGTACGCCCAACTGTAGTTGTAGGGATTTCTTCACTTGTTGACTGAAAAGAACAAATGTAAAATGCTTAAAATTCTTGTTGAATGACAAAAATGTTAGTTTTTAAATAAAACAAAAATATTTATAAAAGTGTTTCCAAACGTAAAAAGTTTCTTCCTATTTGTATATGCGTAGTGCAGCGCTCGAAATATAAGATAAATTCACTAATTAACTTTACTTTGTTTGAGGTTGTAAATGCGTAACTGTCATTTTCCAAGCCGAAAATATGCAAACAAAATGCATTCCACCCTTTTTACCCGTCTGCATTTCTTGACGGGCTGACATATATTGAATCTTCTAGGGCTATTTTGAGGGTCTATTTTTGCTAAGTTAGTAGACGTCGTCAGAGCAGTTCGATAAATGGGCGGCGCTACTACTGACCTAGTTTCGTTATAAGTGCGCACTTTCCTTTGCGCACTTCCCGTTTGCCTGTTTATAATTTCCACAAATTAAATTTAACTAGTCCTTATAAAAATTAAAGATTAAGAAAAAATAAAATAATTTTAATAGTTACATAATTATTTATTAATTGAAATTTTTCGACTCACCAGCCTCATTTTGATGCTTAAATTTGCTGCATGTGTATTAACAAATTATGTACCTGAAACAATTGCAAATATTAGTTACTTTTTATAGCACTTTAAGAACATTTTAACATATCCTACAGATTTTTTTTCTCCTTTTACTATATTACTAGCTAATTTGATTTAAAATAAAAGCTAAACAAATATTCTAGACCCCATTTGGTGTCTTCTTGCGACTTTTCTTTTTTGAATTATCTGAACTTCTATCAATTAAAATCAAACTTGGTCTTAAAAAAATGTTACATTTACAGTTTAGGCATAATCTTATAATTTCCAGATCTGCTGCCATTAGAACTACTTTCTTATATTAGAAGTTTTATTAAAATTACCAGGCCCTATTAAATAGTGTAGTTTAAGCGTTGAGGTATGTCAATCAGTAATCCATACTAATATTATAAATGTGAAAGTGTGTTTGTTTGTTTGTTTGTTTGTTTGTTTGTTTATTTGTTTGTCCTTCTTTCACGTCGAAACGGAGTGACGGATTGTCGTGATTTTTTGTGTGGAGATAGTTGGAGGACTGGAGAGTGACATAGGCTACTTTATACCGCGGGATATTATGTAATTTTTACGGGAAAACATTTTATAATACAATCCAAAAAATATTTATAATCAGAATTACTTGAAACTTGGTATTAGTGCTCTTCAATAAAATTAAATAAATACGTGTTTTGGCATTTTTCGAAATTCATCCTATAAGGGGGTTAAATAGGGGATGAAAGTATGAAGCTACCTTTTTAGAGATTTTTTGCAGTTTTAGTGCGAGCGAGGCCGCGGGTTCTGCTAGTACATAATATTTTTCTGTATCTATATTTAAAAGAAATTGTCTTTATATTAAACAATTTTTGGCTTTTAGGCCTTTACAATATAAAATAAATGAAAATCCCAATTAGACTGACGTTAATGAGAACATTATATTATAACTAGCATCGTCCGCGGCTTCGCCCGCGTTCAGATGACTAAAAACCAAATTCTTAGGTTTTACATATTAGTATACTCTTACAATGCAGTTTTTGTATTTTTCTCAGAAATGAGATATTTCCCGCGGTAAAAAGTATCCTATATGTTCACCCGGGTATCCAGCTATCATGATACCAAATTTCATCAAAATCTGTCCAGTGGTTTTCTCGTGATGCGGTAACAGACAGACAGACAGACAGACATAAATTCTAAACACTATAGATTCGGACTCTGTATCGATAATAATGTCTATTTCAATAAGATTTTTCAAAAAATATTTAATGTACAGATTCGGCTTAGTTTCAATTTTATTATATGTATAGATTATATTATCTTGGCTTAAAGTGGAGAGTTAGATTACATCAATACGTACATATTACATTGTATTATAAGTTATCAAATGCGACTCTTACTGATTAACTACTCATGTCCTTTGTAGGAAATCTATTGCAATTAATTAATACTTTAGCTACGTATAATAGTTACATATAGTTTTATTATCTTGATAAAGTCAGAAATAAGAGGGTTACACACGTGACCAAATACGAGTTCTGCCATGCGTCTGCGCAAAGTTAAATCGCACGCGACTATCTCTTGTGCCCCTTAACGTATCACTTAGGACAATAAACTACCTATATATATAAAGTCCAATATGTATATGACAATTTGATTAGCATAATTTTCTGGATTTTTAAATTAGAACAACAATAATTATTATGTTATTATAAATTAAGTACATATTATATTAATAAACGATATTCTTTATACAAGAGTATGCGATATTATACAAATTACAGCTATTCTATCTTACTATTACTAATTTAAGTTTCAAAATTATAATTAAAAATTAAAAAAATATAGTAGTTTCATAGTAAATTGAAAAATACTTACATTTCTTTATTGATTAGTTTTGTAAATATTTTTTTATATATATTGAATGAAATTATTGTTTATTTTTTTTTTATTTTTTTTTACTGTATTTTTACAGTGGGTATATAGCCGTATACAATATACATGCGTTTTTGCAATGTTAGATTCGCATCAATATATTTTGATTGCAAATGTTATGTTTTCTTTTGCATTATATTATACAAAAGATAATAAAAAGTTATTTTTAATTATTGTGAAATTTAAAATAATAGTAGACATTCTATTATAGTAAAATTGATTTAAGAAGTTATATATGGTTTTTTGGTTGGAAGCACTGTCACATTTCTTTCTTTTTTTATTTACCGACTTAAAAAAAGGAGGTTATGTATGTACGTATGTATGTATTATTGGAACTGCAAAATATTTTCACGAATAACGACAATACATAATATGATAATCCATTAGAGCTTCTAAACAAATATACAAAATTTTATAGGTGTATGTATGTATGTTTGTATGTATGTTTGACCATGCATTTCTCCGAACCTAGTTATGGGATCCTAATTATTTTTTTTTATTTGCTTACACTTATTTCAACTTAGGGAATAGTACTAGATTTCATCAACATCAGTTCAGTAGTTTTTATGGTATGGATTAAAACGTGTAACCAAAATTGAAATATGTTTGTAATTACTACTTATTACAAAAACTATTTCAGTTTTTAATTAAAACTAAAAATTACGAAATAAACCAGTAATTTTAAAAAAAGTAAACCGATTTCAAAAAAATACTAAAAAGTAAAAAACAACTGAACGGGGGTTTTCATTTACTATAGATACCTAACCAGATATTCTCTCTAAGTCAGTGCCAGTAGACAATGCTTTAAGATATTAATATGTAATAGGTAAATATGACAAGGTATGAACTCTAATTATGATTAAAAATATTATACATCAATTAGTATACGTATCGAATTAGATTTGCTTTGCATTGCGTCGGCTGGCTTTTAATAATTTCATACATATACCTTAATAACTCAGTTATATAACCGTGGGCCAAGTGTTACGTAAAATAGGAAATGGAAATATTGTATAATAAAGTGCATATAACAGCTGCGAGTTACAGAATAGAACGCGCATAGCGCATCGGCGCCCGCGCAGTAGGAAGCAACCTTGGCGGCTGGCGCACCGCACTTGAACTTGCCCTTTATGTCGCGTGTACGCTCATCTTTATCTCTTGCTGTTATCATATTCTCAATAATAATTTGAAATTAACATAATTAGTGAATGAGATCTTAGTTAATTAAAAATATAGTTTTTCTCATAATAAGGACCCTTTAGTATTAGTTATTTATTTGTTATTTAATTTGTTAATTTGTGAGTTTTTGAGAATAAAGTTTTTAAGGAATCAATATATATTTTTAACGTAATTTTATTTACACGACGATTTAAAGAAATACTCGACCAACCTATTTATATTTTACGTATACAATAAAATATTAGTTTTTTGAGTTATTTTTGTTCTGTAGTGGGAAGTCTGTAAATATGGCCATGATATTGCAAATAGTATCCATTACGTATGTGAGTGCAATGAGAGCCTAACCTTGCAGTCTAATAATAATTTGATACGTAGATGTTTCTACTGCAAATAGATATATCGGCTACATCGGCAAGATAAAGATTGTATTTAACTTGTCGCAGAAGTGGTGTAAAATATGATGTCAATAATAATTGAAGTGGCTATTGATTTGTTGTATTGTAGGTATAATTTTAACACTGTAGGTACTATTTATAACATAGCATAGATAGTTACGTTACTATAAGCATAAATGTGCACTTAGAAAATATTGTATGTAAAATATATTACTGAAATTTTATAATTTCCGGGTATTCTGAATTTTACGTAAATATATAAAATATTGATAAATATTAATAATTATATGATTAACAACTTTTATTATAATTTCGTTTATTTATTAAATTATCCACGAGTATATCTTATTACTTTAGTGTAAGCGTGTGTAAAACTCAATACTTTCGTATGATATTGGTCAATTTAGTTTTAACACTTAAAAACATCACGAGCACTTTTGACGTCACTATTTTTGTTTCCATTGTGATTGCATAAAAAAGAAAACTAAGCACCATAAATAGATCAGTCAATACTTACGAAAACCATCATTCAACGCTATCTTCTACTAACTTCAATAAAAGTATAACTCCTTATAAAAAAGCTTTGTTAATTGTCTTTGGTGTATTTTGGATAAAGAAGACGACGACCTCACGGTCTAGGATTCTAGAGCGGTGTCGAGCGACTTGAGGTACTCCAGCAGTATGCGGAGCGTCAGCAAGGGCACGAGAGGTGGGAGCCAGCGCTCCGCTCTCATGTCGGAGCGTCGGAGGCGAGATGCTGCGGCAGCTACGCGCGAGCGGGCCCCCGCGGGCGGCGTGCTCGCTGGCGGCGCGAGGAGCGCATTATGCAACGCTCGCCGACCTGCCCCACGTCTAGCTACGGAGCGCGTCGCACTAAGCCGACGCCGCGCTATGCCGACCGACCTAGATGCACTTTTACAACGCCGAGAATGCAATCGACACACATATTCGCGTCTCGTTCCGATAAACGCATCGACGACGAAAGCGGCCCGTGATGGAGAATGCGGACGAATTTGACAGCGAGTGCAGTGAGTACGTCACGTTCACGCCTAGTGTTCTCCAATTAGACAAGAGCGGGACGGCGCGGTGCAGTGCGACCGAGCGCTGCATTCAAGTTCATTACTTCCGTAGTGTGGCGGCCGCGGCGCGCCCTGACCGTGCTCCCGATCCGCGCTTGCACTTTATTGACAATAGCGTGTGAACTTAGGAACTTATGTACTTTCTATAATTAATTTACTTGCGTAAAAATTACATGCATACCTTTTAAATGTTATGCGACACTTGATTAGAAATTATGGTTCCAAATCTTAAAAGTTATTTACATATTTGCGGTTTTAATTTTAACATTTCTTTCATAACTGTGGACTTGAGTACATTATTATTTAATAAATAAAAAGAAACCATAGGCACATTTCACATACACACAAACATTAATTTAATGCAAAACTATTATTAAACACGTTAAAAACAACGTGCGAAAGGGTAGCGTGAGAACGGTAGCGAAAGCCATGGTAGGGCGGGCGGGAGCGCTCGCCTGCGCCTCCCCGGAACAAGCTTTCACTCTCGCGGGTCGACGACACAGGCTTTACGCGCCCATACCTCTGTTTCTCGAATTTACAGCACCATTTTCCTACATGAACTCGCTCTGATCAAGGTTTCAGGAAAGAGATAGTGCAATATTTTATTTCATAAAAAGTCGAAGTTTAAACATGGTAGGGGCAATGCGTTTCGCCTCCACTGCCGACATAGCCACACCGCACCCTGCCATCCACCATTATCCAATATTGATTTCACTATTTACAGCCTTTAATCTGTTAACAGCCTCAAACCCTGTGAATTCTGAATAATAGACATGGCAGCTGCAGATGTAGTGGTTGCAACATTACATTAGATGACAATTACAACGTACAACCCTCATATATATATACGAGTATATATGGAGCTAAGATATGCTTAATTGAATTATGAAAATAATTCAAATAAAGTTGTTCCATGTAATCAATTAACTGACATACAAATTCATAGTAGTAAAAAAACATTAATTTAACTGTTTCATTGGCCATGAGCGTATATCTTGAAGTACGTAAAATAAATATAATTTGGCTAACTGAACATTTTGTGACAGTTTGACCGATTAATTAAGTACTGGCCTAAATTATTATACTCCCCTCGTTACATCACGGGCCCATTTCACCCCATTATGGAGCATGACCTACCCCTACGTCTGTTCCTTGTAGACAGGTCTGAAGCTCAGTACCCGTCACTATCGATTAAGACAGATGTTTACAAATGCTGAAAACTGAACACTACACTAATACCATCTATATTACTTTTCTATATTGTCATCGGTTCTGAGCATAAATTTCATTTTTAATAATAAATTAAGACATATTTTGACTAATGAAGGCGGTTTTGATTTTTGAAAAACATAATGTTATTGAAGAATATTGTTTTTGAAAATAAATGGAAAATAGAAACTTGTAGTAATTCATATAGTACATAATTCAAGCATCGCCTTATTACATTAAAGAATATCTTATTGTAAACGGACATGATCTACCCTACGTCTGGCAGAAAAATTGGAAATATTTTATAATAATCTTATTTCTAATGCTTATATTATGAAGTAACAGTAATTGGCTATAATTTGCCATTGTATGAAAACGAAATTAAAATCCCAATCAATATAACGATCGTAATAGATCGTTAGAACTTTTTTCTTTTGCATATCTCATGATATTTTATTTAATACATACATATATAGAAGGAATTATTTTAAAGTACACTACAGTTCAGTAGATTTTGTAAAAATTATATTTAAAAATTATTCATAACAAATAAATATATTATGTATATCAATAAACTGCCTAAATTCGGAGCATATTAAAAATGCAAAATATTGTAATTGGCCCTCAATTAGAGCGTGAAAAGTGAAGCGCATCAAAGAAAATGCAGTTTTCCATCGTCGGCGGAGGCTCGAGCGGTATCAAAACATTGAATCTTCCGGGGTGAACGGCCTCGGCTGCGTCGTCCCACTGCGCTAGCCCCCGCCGCCCGGCGCCGCGCGTCGTCTCGCTCGTCCGCGAATAAATCGCACCACGCTCGTGTGTGCGGCAAATGCGTTTACTGTATGAGTATTGGGCACAGCGGTCGTTGACATCACACCAATTTTCTTTAGGCATGCAATTTCAAGTTTTAAAGGCTTCATCTCGATTGTATTTAAACGGTTTAATAGCTTTGAATTATATTATTTAGGTACTTAATTTGTAAATTAATAATTTTTATGGTATACTTGTTCCCTTTGTATTATTAACTGTTATCATATTTTTAACTAGCGATTTACCCTCGTGTGCGTCCCGTACGTTTTATATAGATAAAAATAGTAATTGTGAGCGTACCTTAGGAGATACACACATGCTATCACTGACTTTTCTGTAGGCCTTTTTAAGACCTACAATTATTTAGTACATTGTTTTAATGTATCTCTAAACGTTTAGCCAGCATTAGCCATGTAATCGTCCGAAAACAGGTTTTTAGACTAAACACCGTCTAGGCTCAGTTATTTTTTATAAAATATTTACGAATTATATACATATATACTTAAACCTATCTTGTTTATTGCGTGCTATTAGTGAAAACCATATCAAAATCCGTTGCGTGGTTAAGAAGAAGTAAGTGGAGAAACAGACAGACCCAATCAGCGACATTTTATACTAAGGTTTTTATTGTATTATGTTACTTGCTAAATTAAATTCGTTTAAAATTTAGTACAGAAAAGGTTAAATATTAAAATCTCGTTATAATTTTTTTAAAGAATCATTCTAACATATTCTAGCATAATATGATTGAAATACAAAAAAAAACTAATAACTTATTTCCACAAATAAAGGTAATATAAAATGTGTAACGTATATGGTACTCATTGAAGGGAACAGGCTTTATTGATCTCACAGAGCCGTATGGTGTGCAGTTTGTCTATGTCTGTAGATGCAGTGCCCACAGCCTACAGTGCAAACTCGATTTCCCCCTTCTTGGGGTAGGCTTCAATACTCATTCATGCCTTTTTCCTGCTCTAGCCGGGTGCAGGCGCATAATTCGCTCCTGCTCGTGATGTTTCCGTGTTGACGCCGGTACATACGCGCATGCACTAGACCTAACCCAATGCAGCGAATTTTGCGTAGGGTCGTTGTCCTCGCCTGCCTATATCCGCACCTAACTTAAGTACTAGCTATCACGAGACGGCTCTCAAATCTGTCTTTACGCAATCAGTTGTAAAATCGTTATTACTCGGGCTGTTTGTTTTTATGACGTTTTACTTTTTAGAAAAATGTGCAATATAATTTAAGAAAAATGTGTCATATAATTTAAGAATAATAGAACCGGTAAGAACAAAAGGCGTCCTAACTAAAGACCCTTTGCTTTATGGCTGGTGACTATAAAAGAATCGCGCTAAAAAATGCCATTTGCACAAATTGCATTTTTTGCTTGGCAAATTCAAAGGTTCTCTGTAAAGTTGAAAAACAATATCATTAAAAAATGTACAAGGTCTCAAGGCAATTTGTAACAAAACATTAAGGGTTTTACTAGAAGGCACTTTAATGTTTTTACTAGTTTCTAGAATTTGGTGCATACATATTGTGGCATAATGACGCAATTATCGTAAAACAATTTTGTTTTTTAGTTTTTTTATTTCAATATGTAAAGGTAAATATCATTTTAAAAAAATTTGTATGTAGATAGAACGGCTAAATTGAAAATTATTTTTGAGAACCAAATTATGCAGGTTTTTAACCTTTACTAAGGCTATTTTAAAATTATTTACAATTCCAGTGCTTAGAAGTGTGAAGTACTAGTCTAGAATGTGGCTAGGGTCAAAAGCCGCGCAGTATGTCAGCGCTTAGTATTCCGTGAGTCCGGGCCCGGCCGGCTAACGGGACCCGTCTACACCGGCCTTTACTTTCATCGATCCAACCGACCACGGTTTACTTTCCTTTGTTACTTACTTTTAAATATAATTCGATCAATTTGATGTATGTTAATATTAATGCGATATCACAAGTCAACTTTAATTTTTAAATTTTATATGTGCTTGACATAATATTTATTTTAAAAAAGAAAGATTTCATGCTACAAATAGTTCTTATTATGATGTCCTATAATATGATCCGCATCATTCAATACCATTGTGACAAAGCGGATTCATAATTATCGATGGTTAACAAAAAATAACAAAAGGTAAGAAGCAAGTGTTTGCTCATATCGCAGGTAGAGGATTAAGTCCAGAAAAATAACAACGCAGCTTTTGTTAAGGAAGTGCCGTTACAAGAGATGATTTCAATCAAAAAATTCATGTGCATAAAAATATTTTTCCCAATTGCAAGTTCTTATATCTTATATCTTATAAGTAATTTAAACTACATACATATATAATAACTTATTGAATGTGATTTTGTGCCACTAAGGAACAAAGTTTGCTAGAAATGTTTTCTAGAAAATAACAGTATCTTAGACTTTTCTGGAACCTGAGTCATATATCCTTTTCAAATAGGTTTATAGCTTATGCAGTACACAGTTTACATACATAATTTTATGTTGCAATAGTGAATGCAAGTATTATCAATACTTATATTTAATAATAAAATTGTAACTTGATCATACGTAAGTGTATTTGTCATCTAATAGAACTGGATTAATTTTATCATTTATTTTTATTTAATTCAATTCCTAATAGTTTCTAAAAGTGTATAGTTTTTGTTGTAGAATTTTATGGTAAATAATCATATATATTTACCTGGAAATTATATTTTATATTTGATGTTTTTCCTCAAAAAGTTATGGTTTTATATTACCATTCGACAGGAAGATCAAACCATGCAACACATAAATTGATTCAAAGATATTTCATACGGTACCTATGGGATCCACTACCGTTAGGTAGAGTCGATAAAAAATAAAATAGGAGGGTGAAATCAGAGCCCAGCGGGTGTCAGCCTCTGCAGTTTTAATATTCATGTGTTCAGTGGGCGCATTTTAAATATCATTGCTTAAAACAATTACTAGTGACATTGCTCATTGTCTTCTGAAAGAATGTACCGTATATTTATATTGTATCGTAAGCACGTGTATCCATTCATCGAATGTCATCTAAAGTCAATGTACGGGTATGACACGGTCCGAATGCATCGCGTGTAGAAGACCTCTTAAGTATTTTCCTATTGCGTAATGTCATAATTATCGGTGTAAAACGTGCATTCTATAGACTCGGGGTGACAACAGAATGAACGGTATTGTATGTGGTATGGTATATGATTCTCTATGGTGCGGTAACCGCTATTACGGCCGCCGGAAATCACGCTCCATACGCGTTTTATTTGAAATACATGTATGTGGGACGCTGTACTATAATATAAAACACTTTCTGTGACTTTGTTTCGTTAACTTATTAAGAAACAATAATATTTATAACAATATATCACTTAGGTGATACCAGGTATTTATATCAGTTCTGTATGGGAGCATTAAAGTAAACTAACATTGAAGTAACTGTATTTGAGCTTAGTTTAGTAGACCACTTTGAATTTATATTGTTAGCTCTAAATTTTTGTGTCTATCTATAAATATGTAAATATACATATGTAACACGGCTTAAAAAAAAGGGTATTGGAGCGTAAAAGTGTTTGTTACATAATAGATGCGAGTGCGCCCAGGGGCAGGGGCAGGGCACGCTGAGGTACCGTTGGTCGAACTGGTTCCACGCTGCGTTGCCCGCGCGTCCCTTCTTCCCGCGATGTTTACGAAGCATTTACTTTCTACCCATCAAGGACCTTCCTGGTACTCCCACGTAAGCGTAAGTGAACTTGCCGAGTAACCAGATTTTTAGTTGTATTTATACGATTCTTTCTCTTGACGCACTATCAAACTAGAAATACTGACTTATATCCAAGTGCTAACAACACTTTATGTGTAATACCTTTTTGTACAGTATTAACTGTAGAGTTACAAGTAATTATAGATACACATTACATAAGATGTAGTCTTCATAATATGTCACATATCGGTCAACTGTTCGATATTGCATTTTATAATAATATACATAGATATGTACCTAATAGTCATTCCTTTTTACATTTTAAGTTAAAGAGGCACCATAATCTATAAGTATAGCATTAAATTACGTTACGTTTTGTGTCCGTATAAACCGTCTCATTTATTATTTAATATGTTGAATTGTTACACAAATATCAGAAAAAAATACTTGAAAGTAATTAAGCTCTTTAAATAAGAGGAAAAATTTGCTAGTTACTTAAATTTACTTTTTAATTATCCGGTACAACAAGTTGTACAATTACGAAGTGCCAAATAATTATTGTTTTTAAAAGCTTGCGTTATATTTCTGTTTCTTTTGTTTTATTTGATGAATGCAATGTGACTAGTAGTAATACATATCTATGTTAAGTTAGTTATCATAATATACAAATAGCAGATAATAATTAAATGTCTCATGTAATTGTATTTGGAAATATTATGGAAAGTAATAGTCACTGGTATATTTTTTAATCAATATAAAAATTGTTTCATCAAAACTTTAATTTTATCTGTATAAATATCGTCTAAGTTTATAAATAATAATCTATTTTAAATGGAATTTATAATAATAGCACTTGTTACTTGGTTATATTGTTATATGTTAACCAGAAATTATGTTATAAATATATTTTTTCATTAAAATTAAATCATGATATTCCACGGTATTATGCTAAAAAATACCATACCAGTATTAAGGTAAAAAACGCGTGTAACTTGTATTTATATATATTTACTAAATTATTAATTAAAATTAGATATGTAAGGCGCGATATAAATGCTTAAGGTTTTGTAACTTTGAAGCTTTTTGTACAGTAAAGTGAAGTTACATTATAAAAGCGGTTTTGAATATTTAAAGATATGCGTCGTATAGCGAAGATTTAACTGTATAGACATGAAGAGATTAAGACAGACTGAAATTAAACTTTATGGTGAGTAGTGTAAATACAAAATCGCATAAGCGAAAGGAGTCAGGCCGGCCGCGGCCGCGAGCTCGCGGTTCAATGACCGACTTTTCACGGGTTTGTCAGCTTGCTGTTATATCATCGGCCGAAGTCAGTGTCATTGCCGAAACTGCGGGAAACGTGTATGCCAAATTGAATCCTTTCTCTTTCCATATTAAGCTCACTTTTGCTTAAACCTAAAGAAGCTTTTTGGTTCTATTTACTATATTCTCTCTCCATTTATGTATTGTGTACGTAATTTTTATGTATTAGCCTTCAAGCTGTTTGTGTTCGTGCAAATTTTTCACGATCACGTACATCTTTCTACTGTCAATTATTTCGAGATGATTACCAGCAGGTTTTTGTGAGTCCTCTAATTTGGCAAATAACTTTGTTTTTACTATGTCATATGCACTTTAGTAAAATAAGAGTTTTATAACTAAACTAGCTTTGCCCGCGGCTCCGCCCGCGTTCAGATGACTAAAAACCAAATTCTTAGGTTTTACATATTAGATTACTCTTACAAAGCAGTTTTTGTATTTTTTCTCAGAAATGAGATATTTTCCCGCGGTAAAAAGTATCCTATATGTTAACCCGCATAACCAGCTATCGTTATACCAAATTTTATCAAAATCCGCCCAGTGGGTTGTGTGTGCTGCGGTAACAGACAGACAGACAGACAAAAATTCAAAAAACTATAGATACAGCCTCTGTATCGATAATAATGTTTATTTCAATAAATATTTAATGTACAGATTCGTCTTAGTTACAATTTTATTATGTGTATAGATTTAAGTTTTCCGTACTTAACAAACTAAATACATATATAAAATATATTATTAAATTACAATTATAAATACAAATATATTTAGCTATATGTAAATAGTGCTATGAAATAAAATAGTAAAGTAATTTTTAAATAGATACCGTTAAAGTAAAACTTAAGAGGACATTTTTAAAATCTGAAGCAAGTAAATTGATAGTGTATAATAGTTTATTTATAAAGTTAACTATATATAATTAAAGTTTGTTTACACTCGCACGCACATGCCATTATGTGAGTGGGGTGTATTACGTAAGCCCTCACGTGCGAATGTTCGCCTTGAAATTGAACTTGCTGAGTTCAAGGTTCGTTTTTTTGCAACTGCCCATCAAAGTGTGCGCTCGGGCAAGTGTATCTGTAATCTGTATCTAAGTATATGTACTTGGCCTATGTACATGGGTGTTTATTGTAATTACAGCCAAAACCCACCCAGGAAGACAATTAGTTATTTATCAAAATGAAATTATAAAAATGAAACAAAAAAAGTTAAATGTAACTTATTAGCTTAATTTGTTAATATTACGTAAATTTTATGTAATACATTTATCTAATACAATTATCAAAATGTAATTCGGTTTCTTACTCTACGTATTTTATTATTCTGTGAATTATTATGTTTTTAAAGTAGGTACATTTACATTTTCTAACAAAAATACAAATAAATATATTATATTACAATTATTATATAATTATATTTAAAATGAATATTACAAACTTTAAAATTTATTATTAAAAATATACTAAAAAAAGTAGTCATTCAAATAATATTCTTTTTATGTAAAATCCAATTTATATAAAACCATTTTTTTTTAATTATAACTAGGTATAAATTTAATGTTGATTTCCTTACCTATTCTATTAAGTTATCTGAAAATGCTTATCCTTTTCTTAAAGATACGCGCGTTGATGTCTTTTTAACGTGAAGAAGGCAGCCAGCTTTAATACCATATACAATAATCAAAAATACTCCGTACTTAATTAAAACATAGTTTAATAACTTACCAGTTGTCTCATAATAATCCAGCCTCGAATCGCCCGAAAAATATCCAGATCGTAAATAATCCGTATTATTTCACTAAACTTAAAACTACACTTCACGTCACTTAAAAATATTATTAAATATATAAGTCTTGCATGAGATCTATGTTGCTTTCAGTCTGAAACACGTTAAAAGGTCATGATGGAGCGGTGTTAGCGCACCGATAGCTCCGGTTAACTGATAAAGTGTGGCTCAGTTCATGGTCGGAGACGTCCTTACCGCCGCTGCCTACGGCCCGTACCGACTACCGCCGTATCATACGCCGTGCCGCCGGGCTCCGGACCGCCGCCTGCGCTTCTTCCGTACTCGGCGGGTGAATGAACTGCTGCGTGCGAGCGAGACGACCAATGCCACGGTCACACGACCACTTCTATCTCGGCAAGGCAATCTAGTACACTGTACAAGTGTCAAACGATATATTATTTTATTCTAAGTATATATTTCCCATTTCACTATTAATATATGTATGTTGGTGTATATGTAATATTAAAATATGCGTACATATTATTTGGTAATATTTATGTTCTAAATGTAAAAAGAAAGTAAGCACAATATATTTACTGATGAGTTAGCTGTAAATATTTTATTTTATTTGACTTTTATTACTTTCTCGTATTAGGTAGTACGTAATTATATTTAGAGCGAAATTAACTGAGATACACGGTTTAATATAGATAAATAAAATATAAAAAAATTGCAAAAAATTCAATAAAACAAATTAATTATTTAATACGTTTACATAAATTTTAAATTCGATTGTTAATCTATTCTGTTTATTTAGATTTTATTATTCTTACTAACTCGTATGCAACTATTACTATGTATTATATTCTCATTTCATGTATGATTGATTAAGTTGGTAAAAGTTTTGCTTAGTAATATACATATTACATTGATATTTAGGTATAAATAGATAAGTATATTATAATCACAATACAATTTTAGACTTAGTTCTAGTCAGTAAAAAGTTTTCAGATTTCAACATTTGGCATTTAAATCAACAATACCTCTATATTCTAAGTGAAACTATTCTATTATTAGTGAAACGATTCTATTTATTAACCGTAATATAATTGAGTATAAGAAATATTATTTGTAAATGGATGAAACTACTATATTTTTATTTTTTGATAAAATTAGGATATTTTATTTAAATACGAATCAGTTGAATTGGCACGAGTTCACAAAAGAGCCAGATGGTGTTCCAATGACATGTGATGTCACATGGTACTCGTTTTCGTAATCACGCTTAGAAATACAATGCTTCAATATGGAATACATCAGATAAGAATAAAGGTTTACTGTTAAGTAACAGAACTATAACATATGAAAAATAACAAAAGACAATATTATGTAACTTTGATCGCAGTCTTAATCGCGATCCTCGATCAGATTTGCTTACCTGCGGAAACCCCTGGCTTTTTTGCTCTCAAAGGGTGGCCATTATAACATCACGTAAAAAACATAACGGTTCTTCATCCACCCTAGCACACATTGCGATGACAAAAACACATAAATCGACACTATTACTGTGTATTACGTTTACAGTAATCAGCAAGATTTAGTGGGCAGGAATAAACCATTGTTTCATATCGTTATATTGTCTTTATAATGAATTAATGTGTTAATTTATATATTAAGTCAAATTAAGATACTACCTACTACTAACAATATTTTAATATTAACTAAATTTTACATAAAAATTTGTGAAGTAAATATAGTGACAAAGAAAGCTTAGTGCGAGGACTCAAACAATTGTCTAATTTATTCAGTGTAACTGTTTACTTCGTAAACAAGAGATAACAAAGACTTTTATTATACAGTAGCTAAAATAAAAAGAAAAAGTTAAGCTTATTTAAATATTTCCTCCTAACCATGGGTATTTAAGATATAGATTTAACTTTATGGGGCTTGTTGGTACAATGTAGCGGGGAAAAGCACATAGGAATTAAGAATATTTATTAAATAGGTACCGTAGAAAAGATAAGCAAGTAGTTTAACTATTGAGATTATTTTGTATATTTTTTAAATAAAAAAAAAACTTTTGTGTTCCGTATTTGATTGTCATGACTAATCTTCTAAAAATAAATACTATGATATTTTTGGATTATCAAGTCATCCATCCATTTTACGCGCAGAATCACACACGTTCATAAATAACAAATAATAACTGATTAATTAATTTATTTTAATAACTAATTTATATAAAGCTATTTTTAGAAGTTTGATAAATCATAATAAACCACTTAAAAGGATAGGGTACAAAGGAGCCCGTTGTAGCAGCTTTTCATACTGTAGGCGAGATGCGCACCTAATTTTATTATGACTGTGATTGGTTAATCAAGGCATAGATAGATCTCTAAAGAGACAAGAAATAAACAAATACACTTTCGCTACTGCTACAACAAATATGTTAAATAATATAAAAAAAATAAAAAATAAAAATAAAAATATTTTATTCATTAACAAAATGTTTACAAATTACAAATAAGGTTGAGATCGCCTTTTAAGTGTACAAAACACCTGTGACAGACAATCTCGCTCTTCCATAGCCACATCAAAAGTAACTTGTTATAGCAAATTAAGTTTTACAATATTTGTTAGTAAAATAGTGTGTGTGTGTTTGTGTGTGTGTGTGTGTGTGTGTTTGTGTGTGTGTGTGTGTGTGTGTGTGTGTGTATGTGTGTGTGCGTGTGTGAGTGTATGTATGTGCGTGTGTGTGTGTGTGTTTCATATTCAGGAGATTGATTCCAAAAGCATTTCTGTATCCTCATATTTATTCGACTTAAGCCAATTAGTTAAGACTGATTTACAGTGATGATAACTCAATGGATAGATTTCTATGGTTTTGTTTATTTTATTATATAAGCGTCCTGACAGAATTTTGTACTGACGTGCAGCGAAAGCTGTTTTGATCCTAGGCAGCATAAGAACACCACGATTTCTTCTTTTATCTACTATGTTAGAATCAATAACCAAATTTTTATGTCTTTTTAAAACAACCCATAAAATATATAATTGTCTAACGGATAGAATGTTGCTTTCTGAGTATAATTCACGAGTAGGATATGTGTATGATTTGAAGAACATCACTTTGAGTAGTGACCTCTGTGCTCTTTCCACTTCCAGAAATTTAACTTTAGAGGCTCCACCCCACACTGAGATACAGTAACACAACACTGACTGGGCTAATGCGACATATATTTTAGTTAATAGTATTTTCGAAGCTGAATATCTTAAATTCCTGAAAATCCATATTAATTTTCTGACTCTGGAAGTAACTAATTCAATATGTGAGTGCCACGAAAGTCTTTGGTCAACCATAATACCTAGATATTTAGTCGTGGCTACTTTGTTGATTATAGGACAGCTACAGTTTTGATAAGTAGTGCTTTTGCAGGAATGAATTTGAATAGTAAAGTTACATGAAGGTTGTGATCGGATATTTTTTGAAAAGCAAATGTAATTTGTCTTCTCAGTGTTAAGTGAAAGCAGGTTTGCTCTTAGCCAACAGGCAACTTCACGGAGTCCTCTTTCTGCAGCTTCATGAACAGTATCCCACGTAGGCCCATTGAAAACTATAGCCGTATCATCAGCATAGGCAAAGATCCTGGCCCCGTTTATGTTTAAGGTACACAAATCGTTAATATAAATTAGAAACAAAGTCGGGCCCAAAACGCTGCCTTGTGGGACGCCATAAGTTATGTATGAATCTTCGCTCAACAGTTGTCCTATTTTTACTTTCTGCTTACGATTACATAAATAATCTTTAAGAAGTAAAAGAGGGGTCCCTCTGATGCCAATATTTTCTAACTTTTGTACGAGAATGGGGACAGAGACGGTGTCAAAAGCCTTTTTTAGATCTAAAAAGACAGCAAGACTTTTGTTACCTACATCAAGTTGTTCAACAATTAATGAAGTTAAAGCTGTAACAGCATCCTCTGTAGATTTTGCTTGCCTAAAGCCAAACTGAGAATCAGATAAGATGTTAAATTTGTTCATAAAATATATTAATCTTTTGTTAATTAGTTTTTCTACTATTTTAGAGATACAGGGCAAAATCGAAATTGGCCTGAATATACCTATATGTTTTTTTTAGTCTCAGGATTCATTGTTACTATAGCAGAATATTTATATAGCCAAATGAGATTGTATGTCATGTCTCAGAGTTACGTAGAAGAGACGGTGTTTCTATTTATTTTACTATCTACCTAGTATATCAATTTATAAACATCAGTATTAGTTTAAATATCAAAACTAAGTGATATCCAAAACTAAGTATCAATTGCGAGCTCACATAAGCAATCTGATATATGTATATAGGTATGTAATTTATATAAAAAGTATACTCATGTAAATATTTTAACATTGAAAATGTTTTTTTGTCGCTTCAGTATAGGCCCGCTTTTCAGCGAAAGTGCGATATCGCCCTGGTGTCGTGTATTTTGGGACTACGTGGTTGTTTGGGATGTTAAAAGATGCGTCTGAATGAGAGCGACACCATGCAAAAAACAATTTAAAAACATTCAAAGGCTTTTTTTAATCGAAAAAATGTGAAAATGCAGTCGCTTTTCGCTCAGTTTCGGTCAGAAAAATGAAATAAGATATCGAAAAAATTAAAAAAAAACCCCTAGAGATATGACTTCGGACTACATTTAAAAAAGGGTGCATATCACTGATGGGTTATTCAGAAGTTGTACCTTTGTGACGCTGAGTTTACATGAGGAGAGTGAGTGAGTGATTCTTTGTAAGTGATTCTTTGTGAATAAATAAATAACTAATACATATTTATACTTATAATAAAACAGTAACTAAGCGAAATTTATACGTGAAATATTTTTTCAAAACAATGACTGTAACGTATTGTGTCCTACAGACCCCAAAACAATGATTATGAAAAAAATTGTCTGTTTGTCTGTATGTCTGTTGTGCGTGGGCGTTTCACGAAAAAAGCACTGAACCGATTTTAACTAAATGTTGTATACTGATAACTAATTACTCGGGTTAGGATATTTAAGATATCTTTTACATCATGAAAATAAAAGAAAAGGGAGTGGAGCGGAGAGGAGCCTGTTGTTGAGATTTGGCCTGTCTTTTGCAGTTCTTTTTCGCAAATCTTCTTCGCCTGTCTTCTCCTCTCCTCTCCTCTCATCCCCTCTCCGCCCCTTTCCTCTCCGCCCCCTTTTCTCTTAAAAAAACTAACAAACCTTGTTCCTGCTGCATATCAACGATCTGCTTATACCCGGTATCTATGGGTACGCGGACGACAGCGACATGACATATGTACAGACATTCGACTTGAGATTGGGAAAAAATACAAATAAAAGTTTTTGAACTTGTACTTCACACTGTGGCGGAACAATAGACTTAAGTTAAATTTGTAAAGGGTAGGACTATATTTTATTTTTCAACGACGTACTCGTACCAACC